TCTTTCCATTTTCCCTCCGGACTACGGGCAGCATGTCTGAGGGGTGGATGGAGCTGACGGGTGCATGCACTGTCAAGCCAGAACAATTCAGAAGTCAAGCCCCCAACTCTCTGTATTTATCAGCCACTGTCTGTCTGTCCAGTGACTCAATATAGGAATTAGAATGACCCTCTTCCTGTCCAAGAGGGCTCCTCCCAAAATTGTCAACCAGGCCTTTTGCTAGGATGTAGGGAGCTGAGAACCAAATGATTTAAAGATATATGAGTGAAACTGACAGCCATCTGGTAAACCTCAGTTCTAAAAACTATCAAACTGTCCTTCCCCTAACCTTGTTACCACTTTGCTCTTTCCTACTGAGCTACTAGCTAGATTCATAAAAACTTGCACATTATTGTCAAGACTTTAAACTAAATTTGGTAGTGATATTAAGCAGGGTTCCAGAACATCCTATCAATGACAGGAGATACAAAATGACAGGAGACAGAATATACCCCTCCTCACCAGCCTGGCATATCACCCTTGGAAGACATGCAGTTGCTTCTCATTCCACAATACAGGACTAACTTTCTAGGCACCATCATTAAAAAAGCAAGTATCATCAAACCTTTGTAGATAAAAGATATCCACAGGAAATGTCCGCCCTTCCACTGTAAGGATCACACATGTATCCCTGGTTGGGTCACTGGTTTCATTTTGATTAAAGAAATCCCGAAATTTCTAAAAAAATAAAATATATCAATTCTTCATTCCTTTAAAAAATAATTCATAGTAATCCATGGGAAAAAAGAAAATAATACAAAAAAAGAATACAGAGCAGGGAGTTGGCAGTAGAAATTGGATATACAGAATACAGACTATGGGTTGCAAAATAGTTATTAAAAACCATATGTTTATTATTGCAATTTTGAGGGATTGCATTTCAATGACAGACTCTTTACTAAGGTTTGATAAAAATAATAAAGGTTAGATTTCAAAACTGTATTTGCTGACACTCGCCCAGCACCCTGTTGAGAGACGTGGCTCCCAGCAGTTCCTCCCAAATAGGTAGCCACATCCTCTGCAATGGCACTTGATCACCAGACTGGTAGTCTATGGGGAGGCCTGGAAAGAGAGCTCTGGCCAACAGGAGACACTACCAAAGATTCCCCGCTTAGGGAATGTGCCCCGAGACACACAAAGAAGCTGAGCCTGAGAAGAGCTGAGTGACCAAACCAGCTGGACAGTGAGTGCTGGATGGGAAGCTGCTGGGGCACAGACACCCCATTAAGCGGTGTGTGTCAATATGGCAATGACCTTCCTGTTCCCCAACTATATTCCAGTTCCCCGGAGGCCTGCTTGGGCATGAGTTTTTATCCTCCTGGGAGGCCTAACTACGTGATCACGGTCCTGTCTTTACCTCCCCAGGTGTCTTTAATAAGCACGCCCATGCTTGCTCCTGGAATCTGGGAGCCCAAGGGTATACTGAGGAACTGCATCAAATACAAAATGAATGGGCTTGGGGGAGTGCTTCTAAACTGGATTTAATCACCAAAACCTGGGATACTATACATTAACCTCAAAGTTGTGTTTGAGAAAAGTAAGCACAGATTATAAAAGTGCCTCGTACCAACAAAAGAACTATGCTGTGTTATGAAGAACCATAAGGCACTATTCTTCACTTGACTTTTGGGAAAATTCCCTGAGTAATTTCAGGCTTTCTGTGTCCTATGACGTACAGAGCACAGGCATGCTAGAAGGATGCACAAGCAAGTGACAAGAGACACCCCTGATGCCCCAAAAGAGTGAATAATCCAAAGGGGCAGGTGTGCCAAGAACCAATCACAGCATGAACCGAGGCAGAATGACTGAAGGACCAGAAAAGAGCTGCAAGTTACAACTGAAGAGAATGCGAGGTCAACGATTGGCTCTTCAGGAAGGCAGCATGGAGAGGCAGTCTCCCTGGGCTAAGCCTTAAGGATGACCAGGAAGAAGAGACACCCCTTCCCAGGATGAGAGCAGAGTGGAGGCTAAGATGTAAAGGGCCCCTGACAGAGCACAGAGTCCAAGGTTTAGGGCAGGCCAGCCTAAGCTCTGAGTAGCCCTCTTGTCTACAAAATGAACAAACTGCTACCTACCCTGCAAGACTGTTGTGCGATTCAAATCAAGTGTGACTAGAGTGAGTGCACAGTAAGTGGCTGTGTCATCACTCTAAAGGGGCCCAAATGTCACGCTACACGGGCGCTTTATTAGACAAGGAAGGGCAATGAGGAGGGCATATTATCAGACCTGTGCTCTGGGTGCCTGGCTGTGGTGGTCATTTTGGAGAAGGGCAGGTGTGATAAGAGCATGGAGGTCAGCAGACTAATTAAGGGAGGTGCTGTGATAGTTTAGAGGAAGGAATGAAAGCGTGGACTCAGGCAGGGCCGTTTAAAAGCAAAGCATTCCAGGGGTAAAGACTGACAGGACCTGGCAGTCAGGGAGTGTGAGCACATGCCCAGGCAAGCTGGGGAGGGTGGAGTTCTTACCCAATCACATCCCCAAGCAATGAAGTCCTGAGCCTGAACGATTACAATGAGAAAGGGACTGCCACAGAGAAGCCGAGTGCCAGGTGGGTAGGCCCCAGGTCTATGAGTTTCGGTGATCTGGCAGCTCAGGCTAGAGCGCAGAAGTACAGTCAAGTTCACCTCCAGCTCAAAGG